GAAGGAAAACAGAGACTCTAGACTGGTCTTGAGAGAAACATAGAGGGTCTCGGGTGATTTTCTGTGAGGCTAAAGGAGGAAGACTGGAGGAAGAACAGAGGGGTTACTTCTGGATGGAACCAAGAAGCAATAGAGGAAGGGAACTGTGAGCAGAGCAGAGGGGAAACAGACTTGGAGAATTATGAAACTTAGAGACGACGCTTAAGGTTTCAAACTGGAATCGTGAGGCAAGTTTCAGTCTATTCATTTCCTATAAACTTGTGTTCTGTGCATTCTAAATAGACTCCAGGGATGTAATAAACTTTAAAACAAGTGTTTATGCGTAATGAATCAAATTGAAATCTATTCTACGTTTTGTGTATAACTTTGTTTGCTTCCTTGTATAGACTACTTCGATTTGGATTTAAACCTCTGTAAATCAATTTATAATGGAATTCAAAGAATTTCTAGGGCTGTTTAGACCTTGTTTGAACTCTAAAAACTTTAGAAAAAAACTGGGAATAGAAGGTTGAAGATCACCGTGGAAGAAGAAGGTGAAGCAGAGGAGTGGAGAAGGCTCAAAGTGGGAGGAGAAGGCTCCAGATTTGTGGGAGCCATCTCCACCTTCAAAGAGCCGGCTCTAAGGGGTTAGGGAGCAGGCTCTAAGTGAGAAAGAGCCTGCTCTTTGATTTTAGAGCAGGCTCCCTTGGTTAAGTCACGTTTGGATGCATTCTTGAGCTGTTTGGGCGCTGTTTGAAATTCTAAATGGTTTCAGGGACTGGAATGAGGATTCTAAAAGTAATTTCAAGGGATTTTAGTTCCTCTAATTGTATATTTTGGTCCGTAGGGCAAATGTAATAAACAGTGTAAAAATAAGCGACTTTGTACGCCGCTAGCGGATAGGAAGGACTAGTGCACTAAGTTTTGTTTTAAAAATTTAACAGACTGTTGCATGGAATCTAAACATGATATTATGCTATATTAGGACCCACAATGCATAATTTATCCTAATATGCTAAGGGTTTTCATAGTGTAGGAGTTTTAAGTAATGACGCACTTTGTTGGCGATTGTAAAGTATCTAATTGTGTGAATTTAATTTAGCAACTTAGATGACTAGAGGATGGTTTTGAAATCTATGTTAGATACAGAATAGGGTTATGTATCTTTTGGATCTTATTTGTGCATAGGTTGGATTTTAATTAAGGAACTAATAAATTAGGTTTCAATAATTAAATTGAGATTGTTATTTTAATGGTTAAACTGTTCTATATGTTTCAGCAACTATTGATTAGTAGTGTGGATTTTCTGAGTTATAGTTTGTCATTCTCAGCTTTATAATTGACTCTTACTATTGTTAATATTGTCAACTGCTAGACTGTACTATGGGTTAGTTGAAATTTAATTAAATGAATTAAATTTTCAATGACATGGATGGATACTGGATCTTAACTTGATGAACTATTAAACTTTGTCTCGTTAATTATATGGATGGATTCTGAATTTTCAAGTTGATGAACTATTTAAATTCTGTATATCAACTATTTGGATTACGTGGATATGATTTGATGAACTGCATAAAATGTTGCATCATTCAAGGATCATTTGCATTATATGTACCGGTATGGGACGGTGACATATCAGGGATGGATTAGATCAAAAAGCTAAGTCCTACCCCTTCATACATAAGGAATGGATTAACTAAAACAGTTAAATCCTACTTGGATGCATGTCCTGTCAACTAAAACAGTTGAACGACATAATGTATATTTGTTTTATCTTTCTGCACTAGGAAGGAATTTATATATATATTTATGGTACCGTGATACGAGCTTGAGTCTCCTGATCACGGTTAGGGTGCGTATATTGCAAAGGTTGAGTAGCTAGATATAGCTAATGTTCCCTGGTAGGTCTAGGTACTTGGCCGCTGAAAAGCGTGTTTTATATGTCACCTTCTACCCAGGCTGAACTATGTTATAGGCTAGTGAACATCCTATAGTGTGTGTGTATATATATATATATGGACTATTGTAGATATTGCCGAGCTATCTAGGATGTATCTGCGTATCAGGTTTATGTACGGATTGTAGTAGATTGGAACTTGCATGTGGGCTTGACCCACTCCTATTTTTCAGGTATTTGCCAGTACCAGGCTTAGAGTTTGTTCGTGTTGATGCAGATACAGACACTCACTCTTCCTGTTACATAGGGTTTCTTTTCTATTTTGATTTTGAATTTTAATTCTGTAAATTTATTTAAAGATTTGCAGTTAAGGGTCCACTAAGTGGATTCCTGAGTTGTACGGATTTAAATTATGTTAATTTATTATTTAATGTTTGAGGATTTTCATATTTCTTTCTGTTTATTATTATTTTAATCTTAATTCAGTTTTTTTCCTGCTTGTTTACATATTGATTGTTTGGTATCCCTCGGATCTGTGCTCGGACTTGATCACCCGTGACTCTAGAATCGAGGGGTATCACAAAATTTGTGTTGGTCGGGGACCTTTGCACATGCCTTTTTCTAAGTTATTTATAATTGCATCCCAGATCGGTTAATGGTAGTTACTTAACTAACCAAGTGACACTTTGATTTAAATTCAAACTCAAACTTATCCATCTTATCCTCTTCATCAACTTATCACATGTGAATTGATATGTAGTGTGAACACATGCTTGAATATCACTGCTTTTGTAGTTTTATTAAGTTACAAAATTACCACATTATATTTCAATTGTACCAACAATATGCCATGTGGCAAAATTCTGATTTTGGGGCAAACAATCAGCACATCCCATGTGGCTGATTCTAAATTTTAATTTGTGGTGCAAACAAATAGAGAGCTTGAAGTCTTTGAAGCGAAACGGTGAATTGAGGATTGAGATAAACAAAGCAGAGGAAATGCAATAGAATGAAAAGCATAGGACATCGGTGATGATAAAAATGACAAATAATTGTTTGTTGAGAAACAATTACCTTGAACGCCGCCTAAACTCGGAAATTGAGTGAGAACTTGAGAGAGAGAGATCGAAAACCGATCACGAATTGACAGCAACGAAATTTAGAGAGAGAAATGAAATGAGTATGTTAGCAATGAGTATATAAGAGCTTATGAGTTATTTATTCTGTACTGAAGTGAGTAGCGTATTGGGAAGTCCGGAAGAAATCAAAATGAATTTTTTTTGGTAGGTCCCTGTTTGGGCTACCGTACACTAAATATATGTATATATACCTTTTTCTTTTTTGCAATAAATTTTGATATTAAAAATTAAAAAACATAAAATTATTTTCTGATAGAACACATAAAATGTCCTGATTACTAGCTGAGCATAGCCGGTTATTTGGGGGTTTTATTCATTGTCATTTATGTCTGTCAGGTTTACTTCCTAAGAAGAGAGTTTACGTAGTTTCAGTGGTAGTATTTAGAACAACAAGAATTGCCGAAACATATTTACTAGCTTGAAGAAAAAAGAAGAAAGCACCCCAAAACCAGTAGTTGAAGAAGCTTTATGCTTCCCCTTTGTTCTTCAGGTACTGATTGCACGGCCTCTCATGCTCTGATGTCCTCCTTCCTTTTCGGTTGAAGGTCGATGCAATCAAGAGGCAATTTTTGTCATGATTTTAGTGAATAGGTGGTATTTTGAAACAGTTCTTTGTTCCCAGATATATGTTTTTATGGTTTATGGAACATCTTCATGTTCTGGTAATGGACGGGAACTTGTTGCAAAGTATGTGGAATGCGTTGTCATAGATTGAGATTGAGATTGAGAAACGTTAGTCACAATTGTTTTTTTAGGTCCCTGACATTTTTCTTGCATGTAATAATACGTGTCACCAGGTATGGCAATCATTTAACAATGTGCAATTTGCTAGAATCTCCCCTGCCTGGGTTCAATTTGAAATCAATAAATATACCTATTACCAGTTTACCACCAAGTTTAAGCAAATTATATATAAGAATGGAAAATAACTTATAAAAATTTATGAGATGACAAGAAGCGGGACTACATTTTTTTATTTTTTTTTTTGGTATTGTTTAGTTGGTCTAGTTTTCCAATTTGAGTGTGGTATGTATGTATTTTATTATGGAAAGAAAAATGATAAACTTTAGAGGAGGAGAATAATGACGACTGTGTTATGTGTAAAAATGTTACATCCTTCAACTTCAGAGGATGAGGATGCCGACTATGTGTTGTGTCATGTGTGAGTTGAAGAAAAATGTTACAACCTCCAACTTCAGAAGATGATGATACCGACTACATGTTGTGTCACGTGTGAGTGGAGGTGTAAGCCCCACTCACATATTCCTTATTCGGAATATCTCCAAATTCGAAAGTTGTATCATATAACTTAAAATATATATATATATATATATATATATATATATATATATATATGAAATGAGACACCCTTGAGCTGCAGGCCTTGGTTTGGTTTGAACCTTTGAATGTTACATGTGCATCATGTCATAATCAAAATTCTGGACCAATTTTTATTTTAACTTGCTTGTTCTTTAATTTCAAGGGTAATTAGCACTAGAACAACGACCAAACATGTCCCTATCAAACACCACAAAACCAACCGATTCAGCATTCAGATTAGAACTAGAAGCCCCTATAATAACAAGGGCAGCCTGGCTTGTTGGCTCCGGCTGTCAAAATCACTCTCAGCCTGCCAAGTGCCCCTAAATGATCCCTTTATTTAAACCAACATCATTTATTATTATATTAAAATGGACAAAACAGAAAACAAAGAAACAACCCAAGTCGGTTTCGTTACCACCAAAAAACCACTCGTTATGCTCCTAAAAATGTGTCATTTCTATTGATTTTCACCTACCAAAACAATTTTTATACTCCTAAATTGTCATTTTATTGATTTTCACTATTCTCTCCTCTATATAAACATCACCTTCTCCACCCAAAAATATTTCATACCAACATACTCATTACTCACTCTTCCATTCATAAACACACACAAATCTTTTCCAATACGGCAATGATGATTCTTTTCCTTGTTCTCTCTCTTCCTACAAGGAACACTTGGTAAGTGTTAGGAATTATGTCTCGAATTCCCATTATTATTAGTTTTTATTTTAGAGTATATTTTTATGGTAATTTCTTATAGAGACGTGAATTGGACTCTAAGAAATTGTAATCATTGTCCATAAAGGAATTGGGTATGTGACTTGATAAATAGACACTTAGGCTATTGTTGAGAGTGATGAGTTGAGAGAGATGTAGCCTCCTACGTTGATGGTAGGGGTGAGTTACGGGTTTGGTAGAGTGAACACTGATGGTGAGAGGGAGTCTCGTGGCGTACACGGAGAATTTGGTCAAGAGTTTGTGTGCATGGTTCGGTGTTGAAATTCTCTACTATTGTAATATCTCTACATGTATAATAAATTTCTTCTCGTCCGTGGATGTATCCCTGATTTTGGGTGAACCACGTATATATCTTGTGTTGTGGTTTGAATTATTGTTTTCTTTCTTTCTTTTGCTTCGGCTGTTCCCCAACAAACTGGTATCAGAGCCAAATGTCACGATCCGATTCCTAACGACGCCATGAGCATAGAAGATACGCATGCTGGTTGGCTAAGAACATTCATTGACTGGGAATGGTTCCAGGGAAAGGGCGTGCAGGACCACAGGATGGTACCTCTTCAGAGTTCAGGCAGGTCGACTCGGTTCAGTTCGAGGTGTTTGTCGCTAGTCTTGGACTTGACTATGAAGAAGGGAGTTGGCCATCCCTGCACAAACTGGTCGGGAGCTGGAGCCGTTCCCCTGACGAGGCCATGGCAGGCCGAAACCAGTCAGCATGTATCCTTGGGAGGGAAGGTCGTGGTGGCTGACCAGGGTGCTTGCACGAGCTGAAGCAACGCCTTGGTGCCGCACGGGCCGTGCCGCTGCGCCAAATCTCTAGGCCTGTGACAAATGGTATCAGAGCAGGACTTGGGGAAAAGCACAGAGGTGTGCCCTCTTGTCGATCCGGGGGTTTTGAGAATGAAGACGGTGCACTGAAAAAGCGTCGGTGGGTAATCAATGCTGTTGGAGGAGAGCCTCTATCTCCCCATGAAGATGCGTCCTTTAAGCCGGAGGGCCGCGCGCATCGGATGGCCGGAGGGCCGCGCGCACCAAAGTTCTTACAAGTTCAAGAGGCGTGCAAACCGTTGTGAAGGGCGGGTATCAAGTCAGCCGGAGGGCGCTTGTTTGCTCGGGGTGTCGCGGAGGCGGCATAACGTGGGGTTGCGTCCCGAAGAAGTGGGCGTCCCTTTAGCCCGAAACCCTATCATTGGGCGAGTGCAGCCAGGGGTTGTACAAGGAAGCGATGGTGGGCAGGCAAGCATACCACTTGGAGGAGACAGGCTTTGGAATGTTGGACGCAGCGGAGTCAGCGCCGCACTGCGACGAGGGCGTCGCAGGATTTGGGTGGGGGAGAATGTCACGATCCGATTCCTAACGACGCCATGAGCATAGAAGATACGCATGCTGGTTGGCTAAGAACATTCATTGACTGGGAATGGTTCCAGGGAAGGGGCGTGCAGGACCACAAGATGGTACCTCTTCAGAGTTCAGGCAGGTTGACTCGGTTCAGTTCGAGGTGCTTGTCGCTAGTCTTGGACTTGACTATGAAGAAGGGAGTTGGCCATCCCTGCACAAACTGGTCGGGAGCTGGAGCCGTTCCCCTGACGAGGCCATGGCAGGCCGAAACCAGTCAGCATGTATCCTTGGGAGGGCAGGTCGTGGTGGCTGACCAGGGCGCTTGCGCGAGCTGAAGCAACGCCTTGGTGCCGCACGGGCCGTGCCGCTGCGCCAAATCTCTAGGCCCGTGACACAAAGGTGAAGGAGATCCAGAAAACACAAGAAGTCTCAACATGTGCTACAATAGGCTTCAGTTGTAGGTGGAGTCAATTGGCTTGGTTACATGGCATGGAGCTTGAGTAGTCAAGGTGGAGCCTTGGGGTTGTGACTGATTGAGCAACGTATCCGAGTTTTTTAATAAGATCAAGAAGATTGAAGTGACAGAGAATTATCCAGATTCAATTGCCATGAGAAGCGATGATTGACGTAATGGAATTTGAGCCAAGGTGGAGATTGTTAGGAATTATGTCTCAAATTTCCATTATTATTAGTTTCTATTTTAGAGTGTATTTTTATGGTAATTTCTTATAGAGACGTGAATTGGGCTCTAAGAAATTGTAATCCTTGTCCATAAAGGAATTGAGTATGTAACTCTATAAATAGACATTTAGGGTATTGTTGAGAGTGATGAGTTGAGAGAGATGTAGCCTCATGAGAGAGTACGTTGATGGTAGGGGTGAGTTACGGGTTTGGTAGAGTGAACACTGATGGTGAAAGGAAGTCTCGTGGCGTACACGGAGAACTTGGTCAAGAGTTTGTGGGCATGGTCCAGTGTTGAAATTCTCTACTATTGTAATATCTCTACATATATAATAAATCTCTTTTCATCCGTGGAAGTAACCTTGATTTTGGGTATATACCTTGAATTCAAAAGACCAAGTGTTGGCAGTGTTTAAGCAATTCCAAGCCCTAGTTGAGAGACAGACTGGGAAGAAACTGAGATGCATTCGTACTGATAATGGCGGGCACAGCGGAAGCAAAAGAAAGAAAGAAAAACAATAATTCAAGCCACAACACAAGAAATATACGTAGTTCACCCAAAATCAGGAATACATTCACGGATGAGAAGAGATTTATTATATATGTAGAGATATTACAATAGTAGAGAATTTCAATACCGGACCATGCACACAAACTCTTGACCGAATTCTCTGTGTACGCCACGAGACTCCCTCTCGTCATCAGTGTTCACTCTACCAAACCCGTAACTCACCTCTACCATCATCGTACTCTCTCATGAGGCTACATCTCTCTCAACTCATAACTCTCAACAATAGTCTAAGTATCTATTTATAGAGTCACATACCCAATTCCTTTATGAACAAGGATTACAATTTCTTAGAGCCCAATTCACGTCTCTATAAGAAATTACTATAAAATTAGACTCTAAAATAGAAACTAATAATAATGGGAATTTGAGACATAATTCCTAACAGTAAGTACCCCATAACAAGTCTTATTATGATCCTGTTTTTCAATAACTTATTTTTCATCTCCTTTGATGTACTGTGACTGTGTGTGTAGGTGAGATTTTATGTGAGGAACTGCCCGCTGGAATGTGCTCATTTTCGATCGCGTCTTCTGGGAAGAGATGCGCGTTGGAGACCTCCGCGTCGAGTGATGGAGGAGCCATGAAATACCATTGTAAGACTTCTGAAGTGGTTGTGAAGAACATGCCTGAATGGATTGAGAGTGCTGAGTGCATGAGTGCTTGTGGGGTTGATAGGTTCTCTCTTGGCATCTCTTCGGACTCCCTTCTCGACCCTCTCTTCACCGCCAGCCTCTGCTCGCCCGCGTGTTACTACAACTGCCCCAACATTATTGACCTCTACTACAATTTGGCTTTGGCTGAAGGTGAGTACTGCTTCCCACTGAAATTTATAATCCAAACTCACCATTTTCCGACTTTAGTTTCTCCATTTTCGTATAGCCGTACCAAATATAAATAGACAGTTGATGATACCAAATCATTAATATTACAGGCCCATCATTGATTACTATTTATTTCTCATTTTTTATTTAGGTAGATAAGTTACAAACACATTCATTTATTGTGTTGAGACTCAAACCTTTAACCTTTTAGCTTAAAAAAATAAGAGGTACCACTTTAGAAACACTTTTGGTGGTAATATATCTCTCTCATCATATTCAATAGACCAAAATCATGGATTAGTGCACTCAATACGGTTGCTAAGCAGCCTCCACACTGCTTTAGGGTGATTCTTACTATTTCTGGTGCACTGAACGTCACAGTGTACTAAAGGATCTTATTACATATTCAATACTACAACTTTTTCAACGTATCTAGTCAAAAACATAAAATCATGGCACAAATAAATCACCTAACTAAATAGATTTTTGTGTTCAAGCATTCTTCTTTTGCCCTTACTAATATACATGAGCATATATATGCACTCAAGTTATTTGTTTACCTTCCCTAGGAAAATACATAGGGTATTACTATTACATTATGCTTATAATGTTTGTAACATCGTCTACAGGAGTGTTTTTGCCAGAATTCTGCAAGGCTCAACGGAGTAGTTCACGCCGTGAAATGACCGAGTTTTTAAGTTCCGGTGCAGCTTCTGGTCCAGTATCTGCCACAGCTGCTGGTCCTGCATATGGGGAAGTTGCTGGTCCCATCTCTAGTGAATCATCTGCATCCCTTGCTTGTGCTCCAACTTCCATCTAAGTCAAGTCACATATATAAATTTAGTTGATCTATTATTGTGCATGATTATATATAAATACAAGTCTAAGCAAAAGTTATTGTAAGAGTATGCCCATCATATTATATACAGCTGTTGATTCAATGTAATACCATATATCTTTAGGAATTTAAAATATGAAATAAAATTATCTCTTTCTATACATCACCAGTGTTTGTGGTCAATTATTCTTGCAAATTCAGAACCCAATTAAGGTTTGATGGAGCCTTATCACTTATTCATTAAAGGTATGAACTAGCAACTAAAAAAAATCATCAAAATTGAAGAAAATGGAATCGAGAAACGTAACACATACTAAATGATAAGGCTCCATGTAATACCCCTAGTTGTCAAAAGGTTAAGATTGGAATTTAAATTTTATTCTATGTGCTTATGTGTCAAATTGTTTTAATTCATTGTTTTATTTAACTGAATTGTTTTTATTAGGGTTGTTGTTTGGTTATTTAATTTAATTTCATTCCTTGATTTACTTTATTTATATGTATTTGGTAGTATTTAATTTAATTGCATTCCTTTATTTAATTGATTTGTGGTAATGATTTAAATTTATGGTTTGTTTTTTTTAGTTTGTTTTAATTATTTAATTACGTTAATTGGTTTTAAAATTTACGTTAACTAAGGCCGACTAGAATTAGGGTTTTTTTTTGCATCGGGGATTAGGATTGGGCTTAGGGTTTCTTAGTGCCTATATATATACTGTTATGTGTCTTCAAAGGGTTTAGAACCCTATATACGTACAGTATAATATAGAGAGAACAGAGAGGGAACAGAGAGAGATGGTGAGGAAAACAGAGGAGGAAACGGGGGTTTTAGTTATGAGTTAAGGCTGAACCGAGGAGAGGAGGAAGGGGTGCTGCTCATGGGATTGAACTTAGGGCAGCAATGGAGTGGACGACAGTCAAGAGATTGCCGAAAAGTCTGGACAGAGGATGGCAAACCAAACTTACAGAGGCAAGTTCTCTCCTTACTTTCTCCCGTTACCTGTGTTATGTGCATTCTTAGACTGTCTCTAGGGTTTTAATGGATTACTAATTAAAGTTACATGCTTGTTATATGTCAATTCTGTTATCTATATGCATGAAATTATTATGTTGTAGTTCTAGTATTTTCTGTGTTTTATTCTGCGTTAAAAGCATGGTTAATCGGTTAAGGTTTTAAACATTATAATTGAATTGAACTATAATGTACAAGGCATTGGGATGTTATTGGATGGTTCTAGGACTCTTAAGATCAGATTTAAGAAGCAACAGAGGGGTAGAAAAGGGTCGAAGATGGAACAAATCGTCAGAAACGAAGAAAGAACAAAGTCGAGGCTCTCAAAGGGGAGAGAGCCGGCTCTAGGCAAGGAGAGCCGGCTCCCCCTTGTGGGAGAGCCGGCTCTAGGTAGGTTAGAGCCTGCTCTTTGATTCTAAGAGCAGGCTCTGTGATCCTTTAAGTGTTCTGAAGCAGTTTGGGGCTTGTTTGGTTCAACTGTGGGTTTCAGAACTGTGTTTAGGCTACTGTGATGGTTTTAAACACTAAACCATGGAATATTAATGCCCTAGGATATATAAACTTATTTATATGCTAAGGTTTTAAACTGTAGGAAAAATCTAGGGCAAGTCGCAACAGTTTACGGACTTGACGAACCAAAAGGATTTAATGGTGCAAACGGTGTCTAGAAATTAAAAAGGGATAGAACATGGATTCTAATCATTGTACCATGCTACATTAGAGCCACACTTGATAAATTAATGTCTCTGAACTCATGGATTTAACTGTAGGAATGTATACAGCGGTGCAGGTTGTTAACGGATGGAAGAGGTTTAATTGCTTAATTTAGTTTTAGCAATTTAATGGAGTATGTATATATTTATAAATTTGGTTGTAGGTGCATGCTAGTATCATTTAATTAACAAGTGTGATCTATGCATATCCTAGATGTTAATTGTTGAAATATATAATACTTTTCTGCAATGCATGGATTTAAGCTTGGAACTTTAATTGCGGTAATTTTAAGCATTACACTGCAATTATGTGGATTAGAGTTTAGACTTAAATTGCTGAACTAGTACTTAGGTTCTGTCAATATAATTGGATGTTGGCTTGGAATTAATTGAAGAATTAAATATATATTTTCTGTCAATTACCTGGATGGATGCTGGAAAATAACTTGACGAATTAGTAAACTTTATCTCGTTTAATTACATGGATGGATTCTGGATTTTTAGTTGATGACTTGTTTAAATTCTGTGTTTATCAACTATATGGATAATGTAGACTTTATTTGATGTACTGTTTATAATGTTGTATCATTTACAGATCATTTGCATGTATGCATTGGTATAGGACGGTGTCATACGGATGGATGGATTAGGTCACAACGCTAATTCCTACCCATTCATACATACGGAATAGATTAACTAAAACAGTTAAATCCTACATGGTTTCATGTCCTGTCAACTAAAACAGTTGAACGACATACTAGATGATTGTTTATATTTCTGTATTAGGAAGGATAGGGTTTTAACTAAAACGTTTAAATCCTTATTACAAGTTGTGTCTTGAGCAATGAACTGTTGACCAGCACAACATTTTACTTGGAGGGAACTTATATATATAATTGGGATAGGGATTTAATTAAAACATTTAAATCTTAATTTTTATGTCGTATCATGGCAACGACAGTTGAGCGGCACTACATTGGTTTGGATGGAAATTTATATATATAGATTATGGTACCGCGATCTGAGCTTGAGTCTCATAGTCGACGGTTAGGGTGCGTAAATGCAGTAGGATGCGTAGCTAGCTATGTTGGTTGAGGTATACCATGTTAGGCTTAGGTAGTCATGCCCACTCAAGTGCGTATTACATGTTGCCTTCTATTCAGGTTGAGACCCTCAGCATAGTTTAGTAAGAGTCTTGTAATGTGGATATATATTTATCTATTACAGACTATATAGATATGGTTGAGACATCTATGATGTATCTGCGTATCGGGTCTCTGTTTGGATTGTAATTGGGATAGAACTTGTTCGTGGGCCTGACCCACTATTATTTTTCAGCTAACGGACGGTTCCAGGTCTTAGATCTTGTTCGTGCTGAGCAAAGACGGTTTCTCATTCTTCCGACGACGTAGGAGTTTCTTCGTGATTTAGCAGTGGAGTTCTTCAGTTGATGATTTCAGTGTTGGTATTTTTAGGGGTCCACCAGATGGATTCCCGAGTTGTATTAGAAATGGAGAATGTGGATGTGTCAAAATAATTCTTTATTAGTTTAATTTTATTCTGAGGTTTCAGTATTTGGATTATCTTTCTAGTTTTTTCCCAGCAGTTTTATTTATTCTTGTTTATCTTATCTGTATTCTGTATTCGTTTATTGCTAATTGGTTTGATATCCTCGGGTAATCGAGCGTGGGCCTGGCCAACCCGCATCCAAAAATTCGAGGGTATCACACTCCATCAAACCTTAATTAGATGTATTCTTTAATTACTACTTTGTTGACTTAACTACTAAATGTTGTAGCCTAATAATACTTTCTCACCTTCTAAAATAAAGAGTCAAAAGTTCAAGAGCCTCTCTCCTTTTGGATCCTCTAACCTAAAGCACACATAGATTGCTCTGCATCCTCTTGCACCACTCAACCCCTGGTCTCATGTAGTTTAGTTTCCAGGGTTGGAAGATAGCAACAAAAACTGGACCTACCTTGTGAATAAACCAAGTTTGAAGAGAGATGACAATCCCAGAGCCACAACTCTCCTGACATACCCAACTCATAGTGGCTCTTTTGAAGCTTTCTTCCCACCAATTAATGCAAACCCTAATAACTTGATCCCAACTACATCTCAATTACAAGATCAGATCTACATGCTGATATCAACTTCATCAATTTTACCAGGCGTCAACTACGTGTCAATAACCAAGGACTTTGTGGCCAAAGTGATTTCTCATCTACCTCTCAAAATGGATGGTAAGAGTTTGAATATCTAAAACTCCATTTTGAAGTGGTTCTGCAAAAGAAATTGACGCTCAAGACTATTGATAACCATTTGCTACCTTATTGCAATTATTATTAGGACTTACTTTCAAATTTTTGACAATTGACTCCCTTGTAATATTAGTGTACAAATCAGTAAATCACCCAAAGATAAATTGTGTGACACCGTCAACTAACGATTACATGATAATTTGTCCCTATATAAAATTAAAAAAAAAAAATTGATAAATAAAGAGGATGGTTTGATAGTACATCTGTGTGTGAGTGAAAAATAATTTTCAGTTGTATGAATTTTTTTTTATACTATATGGATAATTTGATAATAGAGTTAATTTTACTGACATCCCTTTAGAATTGGCCAAATATCACATTAAAATATGTTGTAAAAATTATTATCACTTATGTCTAATTTTATTTATTTTTAGTTGCTAACACCTTTAAAAGCAAGCGAAAAGATAATTTTAGCCCTAATTTTTTAATTCATTTTAATCCAAAATATTAACAAACTTAAAAGATAAAATTACCCCCATTTATTACTCTCACGAAATTTACTCTTTTCTTTCATTTTCCACCTTCTGCACACTCACCTTTCCTTCCAAGGTCTTAGACCCTTTAACAGACCCACTGACCACTCACCTCTCTTCTCCACAACCCACCATGTATATATCAATATATGTGTATATATACAAGCTTATACACACAATCAAATGTTGATGGTTTTGTGGGTGTCCAGTGTCCACTCCCTCATGTGACCCACTGACCCAATATTTCTGTACCGAAATATGCAAAACTTGTTTTTGAATTGTGACATGATGCTATGATCTCCTCGGGTTTTTTTTTTTTTTTTTCTTTTCTTTAATTAATAAGAAATTATATTTTGTGCAAATTCAATTTTTATGTTGTCAAAAATTTTGCATTTTCACTTTGGCTCCTCTGAGTTCTATATGTATTAAATATCTGCATACTCATTCAATTTTTATACTCTAT